CCTCAGGTTCTCAGTGTTGTGCTTTAACCCACTGCGCCACCAGGGAGGGCCTTATTAGATGTTTTTTAGTGATTTTGGACTATGGGAAGCAATTCACGTGTTGCCACATTTAATCAATACAACCACCCTATACAGTAAGTAGTCACAATCCATATTTATAAATGACATAACTAAAGCTTACATAAAAGAAATGATTTGTCTAGAGTAACATAACTGTAAGTAATCAGGTATAAGCCTTAGTTTCAGATATGAACAAGGGAGTTTAATCAAGGATATCAAAGGCACTGTTAGTTAACACAAAGTTATTAAAGAACTTTAAAAGAGGGAACTCAGACATCAGTTTCATTCTGGCTAAAGCAGAAAATATTCCTTAAACATAGGTGGTTATAGAGGCTCATCCAATACTCTAATTTTTCCAAGTAAAATGTTCCCTAATTTGTTGGTTGGTGGAGTTTCCAACAACATAAACAGGTAAGCAAAATGAGGGACTAGAACATTTAAAGATCTGAGTCTATCACCAACAGACTCAGACTATGCATTGACCCCTTTACAGGAAACAGAGTTACTTTGCCTCCATGACTTGTAAAAGAGGCCACAATTATAGTAATTTATGGGAATATATAATTGTAAAAATTGCAAAATAAGGAAGTCAAAAGGTTCTGGATCTCAGGCTTCTAAATAAAATAATCATAAATAGTATATAAATTTTCTCACCCCCACCCCATTTGTAGGCCTAGGCCAATATAAACACATTCTATTTTTAAAATATAGGAAAGCATTTTTTTTAAAGATTTATTTATATATACAGAACTGTTTGAAGCACAACACTATGAAGCTAACTGCAACCACGTGAGCACGAATTCAATCCCTGGCCAAGGAGGTAACCCACATGACATGGCAGACCTCTCCTATCTCCCAGTTCCCCTCAGCAGTGTATTTCAGTCAGTTCTGCCTGTCCTGCTCCTTGCTCTGTCTCTAGTGAATTCTCTCACTTCCCCTGCACCTCTGGCCTGTACCAAAGTTCTATATGCATAAATAAATCTTTCCCAAAAATAATAAATAGGATGATCACAAAGTACATAATTTCTATGCAAGAAATACAATTTAAAATAAAAAAGGCATAATCCTTGCTTATTTTGTGCAAACAAGCTAAAGGAACAGACAACACAGGTAAATATAACAAATATATACAAACATCTATAAAGATATTTTCATAAAATCTCCAAATTCTAAAGAAATTTTATATTATTTATGCTGGAAAGATAATATGAAATTTATGACAATATGATATTAACAAAAAGATTATGGGGGCAGAAGCACAGAAGATGAAATGAAAACAAGAGAGGGGAGAGATATGATTAAAGAAAACTTACGAAG